TTTAAACTTCTGTGATTTGAAGGGTTAGAGCAGTCTGAGCTCCTTTATTAGGGAAGTCACACTGCCACTTGCACTGCCTTTATGGTAAGAAATGGTAGTCAAATGTATCTTTCCTTTTTGTTCTTCACGCAATACTGATGAGCAAAGAGCCACTGTCATAAAATATGACAAGATAAATGAAGATAAATTCCAGCCTCATGCTGCTACTTGGATTACATTACATTGTCTTAATAGGTAGCTGTAGGGTACCTTGAGAATGGAAGAAAAAAGCAGGTGTCTTTGCTGCTTTTTACCTTGACACATAAAACATAGTAGTATCTGGATATTTCTAAACTTATACAGGAATTTTTTTTAGTTCTTTCCTCCCTGCCAAAACTTGGTGTGGTGAAGGCCACATTTCTTATTAGCTTGTCTTATAGCATGTAAAATAACAAAAAGTTCAATATTGCACTGTAATATATTTAGGCTCAGTTATTAAAGTAATGCTTAAAAATTTAAATTGAAAACACCTTTCCACATATTTAAAGAGCATCATAAGTTAAAAATTCATCCCTTTTTTAGAAATGAAACTGGAAGCTGGTACTTTGGTAACCCATCCTGTTTGGAAGCTGTGCCACACTGCTGCTCTATTATGAGAACTCTGCAGCGTATTGGAAGGGAGAAAGTTCCGTGGTAACATGGCAGATTTCTAGCTTTCTTTGCCAAGACTTCCTATTTCAGTAGGGAAATGGAAAGAGTTAAGAGTCAACTGCTTCCTCTCTCTCTCCCACCTTCTCCTCCTATGACAAAGGCACTGTGAACTCTTACTTAAAAGGAGCCTAGATTGTTTAATTTGGGTTAAATAGCTACATTCAATTGAAATGAAGCACTACAATCTTTTGTTTAGTGATTTTTACTAAAACATTAGTTATTAAAATAATTTGATATATGCTTTAAAAACCAATCGTTTACTTGAGCTCACTTCCTTGGAAAATGAATGTCGGAATATTTTTATATACTTTCATAAATGAGTGTTTATGTTATAGATATAGTAAAGATTATTAGATAAATTTTGACGCAGGATTTGGCCTTTTAAGGTGCTTCTTAAAGTATAATTCACGATTAGCTTTAAAATTTTATGTTTGACTCTCTAGCCATGTATGCTCATCCAAAATGTTTCTAGTTTATTACTGAGAATCATAAAGATCAAAATCAGGCGTCTCTAATCCCGTGAAGTTCCAAAGAGACCAATGTGACAGACGAGTAAGGAAGCTCTGTGAAGTGATTTCCTTCTAGAGATGCCTGATTGTGGGATTGGCTTCAGGGCCTTACTTGCTGGCAGAGTTAAATTTACCTATCTCCAATTATTAGTCATTTTTTCCTCTTTTAAAAAAGATTAGACACAAATATTTACCCTTCCTCCAGGTTTCCAGGAGCTTCTCATGACCCATATGTGTTCTTAGCCCAGGTAATCTGGCTATAGCTGTAAAGTTACTTGCACGTGTATGAAATTATCATGTTATCTTGATGTAGACATGGAAAACTAAATCTTAACCTTTTTGTCAGTATTCAGTTAAATATAAAATGGTTGGTATTTAGGAAGGGGTCTGCTTTAATCTTAGGTTTATACATTATTTTTATTTAAACAGAATTTCTGACATTCGTAGGTTAAACAGTAAAACTCCTACATATGTATCTGCAGAAAAGCGTGTAGCTTAGTGGAAGAGTACTTGTTAGCACAGTGCCTTACCGAGATAAGGCAGTCATCTACTGGTTGAATGAATGCACTTTTACCCTGGTGTTAATCTGAAATGTGCTGCTATTCCTTCCCCTTTTCTTTATGTTAGGACTAGTGGCTCCTCCTTCAGTGCAAATAATTTATAGAATATATCATTCTTACTTCATCATTATATTTACTGTTTTTTAGATAACATTCACATTTTTCAGAGAGGAAATATGCATTTGCTAGACAGTAAGTTGCAGAAATAGTTCTTTTTTTATGTGTTTGTAGGTAAGGTGGATATTAGATACAGTAGGAGTTTATAAAAACATATTGAGGTCATGTTGACATTACAGTTTACCTTTGTTTGGTTTCCCCATTTCTTATTACAATTTGTATAGTAATTTTAACATAAAAGTATTATCTGAATATTATTAAAACCTGAACACTGGAAAACATTAATAAAAATCCTTAATCCTAACTCCTAGCGATATTATCTTTTTGTCTGTCTTTCTAAATATACTTGTTTAACTCTGTTAGCCATGTTGCCAGCTTTTAGTATTTCACATCTTAAATATTATCTGTTACTTCATTAAAAAATCAAAAGTGCCACTGCAGTAGAAATAGCCCACTTTTTTTTTTATAGAAATTTTATTGGGGAACAGTGTGTTTTTCCAGGACCCATTAGCTCCAAGTCAAGTAGTTGTTTCAGTCTGGTTGGGAAGGGCACATCTCAGCGGTCAATGTGGGGATTCATCCAGTAACCTTTGATGTTATGAGTACTGCACCCTGTGCTCTAACCACCTGAGCTAACCAGCCGCCCCAATAGCCCACTTTTTATAAAGACATTTATATTTTCATACACATTATGTTAGTGTCTTAATGTTGTTTAAAAAATGCTTCATATCTAATGCATATTATTTCTGAGCACTCCCACTAGTTGAGTCACTGGGTAGAACAGTCAAAATTTATGAGCAAGTCTACAAGTCTGCATATGGACCTTAGATCTTGTTAAACTAGTTTGGACTGCTTTAGATATGCACTAGCATCTGTGCAGATCACTTCTTTTGATTTGAATAGTTTCCAATTGTAATTCATTATCTGAAAGAATTAAATCCAGGAATATTTTTCCACTTTGCGTAATTTTTGTAGATATGATACTTCTTAAGGAATTTTTTTTTTCCGATTCCCAAACACATGCCAGTTTTCTGTGACTATTATCCTCACATTTGGTCATTGATGACATCTTAGTCAATTCTACCTATAAAATAACTTTTTACTCTTAACCACCTCTTCAACCCTGAAGTTACTTCCTATTTTAGGTTTTAATTTCTCTTTAGTGTTTTGTATTATAGAACCTCCCCAACTGCCTATATTTTTTCTCTTTCTTCCTGTTAATTTGCTGTAGTATTTCTTCCCATTTATTAGGCTTTTTCTCTCCTTTTATTGCAGTTTTCAACAACTTATTTTAGAAACTTTAAAATATACACATACACAGCAAATGAACTTCATTGTATGGAAATGACCACTGTGATTGTTTTGGTGTCTTAACAGCTGTTCTCTCTCTCTCTCTCTCTCTCTCTCTCTCTCTCTCTCTCTCTCTCTCTCTCTCTCTCTCTTTCTCTCTCTCTCTCTCTCTCTCTCTCTCTCTCTCTCTTTCTTTCTTTCTTTCTTTCTTTCTCTCTCTTCCTCCCTCCCTCCCTCCCTCTCAATTTTAAAATTGAATCAAGCTGGGCATTCTTTAACATTTTTAAATAACAATGTTTTGTGAACACTTTTCCATGCCTGTCTACTTTTTTTTGCTCTATATTATGGATGTATTATGACTTATGCCTTCTTTGTGGACTTTTAGTTTTTTAGGTCTTCCCTCCCTTCCTCCTGCCCAACCATCCATCTTTTCTGCTATTATAACCAAAATTGCAGTATTCTTGTAGCTAAATTGTTTGGACAGGTCCATGGTTATTTCTTAGGATAGTAGAGTAATTTTTCTAAAATATAGCTCTGATTGTGTCATCCCTGTTATACATATTTTGTCTCTCTGTTGTGACCAGTCTGAACTTTTCATCCTAAAGACTCTGTTAGTCTGGCCCCTGCCAACCTTTCTGACTTTATTTCCTATTCTTTTCTCACACCTTCCAGTTACACCAAACTACGTGTGGTTTCTCAAATGTGTCTTACTCATTCATGTATGTTTGCTCTCTTTTCTTATCCATCTGGTAAATATTTCTTCACCTTCCTAGACTGTGAAGTTCTTGATCTCCCTAGGCAGAGTTAGGTGGTTCCTCCTTTGTATCTTGTGTACTCTTCTGTTGCAATGCCAATAGAATATTTGCTACGTTTTAGAAATTTAGTCTTCTTTGCTAGGCTCTGAGCTCCTCAATAACAGGGATGTTGTTCTAGTCATCTCTTTTTCCAGCAGCTAACTCATAGTAGGTGCTTAACAAATGTTTGTTTGAATAAATCTGGGGAAAAGCAAATCTCTGACAATGTCATAATAAAATTAAGTATACTTTAAAATTCACTCCAAAATACTATGAGGAAAAAATTACTTGATTGAGAAATATTTATGGAGAGCATAGGGAGCATAGTACTTTTAAAAAGACAAATGTGTCATGAGTGATTAAGAAAATGTATAACTGAATAATTTATGCTTACATTTAGTGTTGAAACTATTTTTATTAATCTTTAGAGAATTTAAGCGAAATGAAAACTTTTGCTTAAGATTTTATATAAGCAAGAATAAGTATGGTGTATCAACAAATATAGGTATAGCATTCAAAATTTGAGTCCTGTAACAATGTCATTATGGCTTTAGGTTTTATAACTTAGCATCTGAATAGATTTAAGAAAAGTTGGACTAATTAAAGAAAATTTGAACCGTATCCCTGTAGAAAATGTTCATTGACATCAAAATTAAGGAAAGAATCTTGGCTTACAGGATAATTGATCTGTTCTAATAGTCATCTATTTGTGTCCTTTTGAGATTTTGGCTTAATAATTCAAAATGATGGATACTTTCTTAAGTTCTACAGTCTGAAGGTCTCCAAATTCTTTCTCATTGTGTATTTAAATGTTAGGCAGTTTAAATATTTTGTAATTTCTTTTGCATTGCGATAACCTAACGTATGTTACAACTAATAATTTTTGTCCATATATAACAACCCTTGTGTCAGTAGCTCCTTAAGTTCTTAGGTTTCCTTTGCTCACTATTGTCTTCTTAGAACTTAGCATAGTGTTTGGTACTCATTATGACAGATTATACTTATTGGTATGTTTATGTTTTTCCTCTTTCTTTTTAAAGGTAATGTGGCGTTAGATAATCTACAGATAAAAGAAAATGCTCTGGTAAGTTTTTTTTTTTTTTTAACTATATTGAATCCTCATTTAATCTGGTAAGCTCTTAGACACCCTTGGCTACTGGCTATCTGGTACCAGGTGCCAGATAAAATGACTGAGTCATTCAAAGAAACTTGTTTAACTATTTGCTGTAGGAAAATCTGAGATTAAAGGTTTACAAATTATCTTTTTTCCTGATGATCAAAATAGTATCTTGGAAAATGGTATGTTTTTCTTTGATCTAATTTGAGTGTATAGCTTTGTAGTAGACATTTGTCTTACTGAAAAAGTTTTCTTCAGAATTTTTACATATTTTCAAGTAAATAAGGGCATGATTTAAACAATTTAATGAATAATTGTATTTTCGGAACTACGTTGACAATATAGCCTTATAATATGATGGTAATATTAAGAGGTAAAAGATTTATTTAGACCCTAGGTCCAGAAAGTAATTTGTGTCATTTACTGTTGAGCTGAAAACAAACAAAACAACAGTCTCCCCATCTTCCCCGCCTCCCGCCCCCTATAAGTTTTAGATAATATATTGGACTTAGTTATGTTTATAAAATCACTTAAGAATTAATTTACTCTTTAATAGGTCATATTTCTAATTAATCTACAGTATGTTTTATAATCGTATCTTTGACTTCTGGTTGGATTTCTGCATGATGAACTGTGTTATTAAGGAGAGGCTTAAATACAAAACGTTCCCCCGATTGGTTTAATTTTTAATAATTCTAAAGACTCCAGTGATCATTGTGCCTATCAGTTATTGTTTAGTACCCTGTGCATAAAAAAGTTACTTGTACTTTCTGGTGGTTTGGAATCTAGAAAGTGAAAGTTTATTATTGATTAGTACTTGTTAGTAACTTATCTAAAGTAAATGCTAAGTTGGTAAATAGTATATTATGAATCAGTCTTTTAAGATTGTTTCGTTTATTCACTTACTAAATATTTTCTTTGAGAGAAAATTTTTTAGTTACTGAAAATTGTTTAGTTTTCAACTTATTGACATAAAAGGAGTCTTCCTTTTCCTGTTCTACTATTTCAGATAAACAGTGTCCATCTATTATTTTAAAAGTTCATGGAATTTCCATCTGGCTTGGTTTAGTTTATTAAAACTACCAGTTTACCCAATTATTTTTTTCAACTACAAACTCTTTCTTTTTATAATTTTGCCTCTCTTGTGAATTATTTCTTCAAAGTCAAAGTTAATACAAACTCAGCTATACAACATAATATAATCCTTTATGAGTTAGTCAAATACAGAAAATTTGTTTCATGTTTTTCTTTAGAGATAATCGTGTATTTAAATGATACAAGGCAATTTTTGAGGAGCTGAATAATTTAAATGTCCTTTACATTTTTTTTTTACTGCTGAAGAGTGAATTGGATGTTCCTTTTAAAGTCAAGGCTGGTCAAATTGGTAAGTACTGTCACTTTTCATTTTAGTTATTTTTAGTCCTTTTTAGTTTTTATTTTTCCTGTTTTGTTTAATCTACAATATCTCTTCTAGCTTGAACAAAAATGTGATGTTTTGGCTTATGTTGATTAGAGCTTTTGGAATTCTGAACCTAAGACAAAAGCATAGAGAATTACCCTCTAAAGTGGAATGATATTTGAACTGCAATGATAGTTTTCAGGTTTTGGTTCTGCCACACAAAATATTATCTTAATTTTCAAAATTGATAAGCAAATTTTGTGTGCTTTTTCTTTATATGTGAAAGTAGTATAGTTTGCAAACTCTAGTAAATAAAAGTTAAGTATAGCTTATTTCCCTCATGTTTTATGCGAGCATTTCACTTGATATATTATGCAGCAATGTGATATGGAGGATATGCTTTGGTAAGTAGAAAGTCTTTACAGCTAAACACTAAGATCATCCATAACTAAGCATATACTTTTTTTTTTTTTTTAAAGATTTTTATTGGGGAATTGGGGGATGGGAACAGCGCTGGGGAGTTAGGGGAAGGGGAACAGACAAGTTGCTGTCATTTTGTTCTTCAGTCTAGTTGTGGAGGACGTTGCTTCACTGGCCCAAGTTGGCACCATCATTGCGCTCTTCCCGGGCTAGACAGATCAGTCACCGGCTTCTGGATGGCCGCTCACAGCAGCTGCTGGCCGCTCACGCTGGCTGCTGGCTACACATGGTAGCCCATGGCAACCCATTGCAGCCTAGCGACTCACGGCAGCCCAGCTCCAGGTTGAGCTGTTGTTCAGCATCTTAGCTGTGGAGGGCAGTGTCATTGGCCCTCATATGTGGGATCCGAACTGGGGCCCTCTGGTGTCCCAAGCCAGCTCTTAATCAACGCGCCACTCGACTGGCCCTCTAAGCATACATCTTTATTGAAGAAATTTTTCAGTAGGAAGTTTAATCTACAAAGTTCTCTCAACTAGTCCATGCTACCTGATTTTTACTTTGTAAAAATATAAATTACAACCCTAGATGACTTACTCTTATTGTAGAGATTTTACATTATGCCACCATCCACCTCCATCACCCTGCTACTTCAACACATCTCATTCCTTCTTCATTCATTATTTTGTAGTCAAGGAAGGCATTGCCTTTTGCTATTCCAGCATCTCTTAGCAATTACTTGAATACTTCTGTTTGAGTCCACTTTATATCACCTATATGTGTTTTTTTTAATATAAAATAATACTTTCATGTTTTTGTCTCTTGAAACAGGAGATAACTCTCTTAGATTGGAAGCAACCCTAGGGTACACATCATCTTTTTTTGTTTGTCTGTTTTACAGAGCCTTGTGTGTGTGAGGTGGTGATGTTTAGTAGTGTTCTAGAAGTATTGTTGTGGCCCTACATGCTTAATTGAAATCCTAGAGTGAAGTTGTAGGCCTTCATTGATTCTTTCATCTTTGAGATATTTATGCACACATGCTATGTATGAGACTACACAAGTAGCTGCAGGAAAGGCAAGGATGAATGTATCTTTGTCCTCAAGGAAGTTATATAGAGATCTAAAATTAGCACCAAGTATTGAAATCACATTTCCATGGTATTATACTTGTATGAGTTATATTTAACTAAAGAACTTACACACTATTCTTTATATTACGACTAGATTTATATTTTGGAAGAGGTTTTCTAATGGTTCTGAAATTGTTCTTTTTGCTTTACAAGTATTATAGTAATATGATGGCTTCATTTAGGGTTGCTCATTGAATTATGAGAGATCCTTTACATATAAGGATGCAAAATGTATTTTCTTTATATCTATCATTTTTTTTAGTTTATGAAGCTATTAGTTATTATATTAGTTATTATATTTCTGTTAGGTTAAAATATTACACCTAACCTTGTAGAGTCAGTGTGGCTAAGTAATCTCAAGAATGGGTTGGTTTTTTAAGAGCTAGACGTATTTGTGGGTGCTCCTGGATTATCTGTCCCTTTACTTAAAAATTAAAAAATTTCCTGTTCTATAAAAGGGAGGCAGTAGTATAACTAAATTTCTGTGGAATTCAGGATAATGAAGAATTGGAGGATAATGGGTTAGGATAAATTGAGAGAAGAAAAGGTTAAAGGAACAGGCAGTCCTTTTTTGTTATGCTAAAGGAGCATTTTTCACTTTTTTAGTCTCATGCTCACCAAGAAGGCAATCAAATCAATTTTTTAGGTGTTGATGAGATAATTATAAACAGTATCTATTATAAATATAGTTAATACACACTATAAAATTATCAGAGTTAGAAATGATCCATAAGTATACGTATTACCTCCAGACTCCCTGACATGGGAGCCATTTAAGAAACACATTAAGTTTACAAGCTGAAGAAAAATAAAAAATTTAAATAGACAAGTAATTTGAGATTGTAACCCTGGAAATGGATTCCCAGGTAAAACTGGCTTTCCTATGTAGCCATCCAAATAAATCAAAATATCCTCATTTATATTGCATTATTTTATTTTCCCTTCAGCTTGTTATACTGTATAACAGTTCTTTGAACTTTGAGCATCTTTATTTAAAAGTACCAGCGATTCCGGCGATGCAAGTAGCTTAGTCATTCATTCACATACTGGCATGATTTAGTTGAATCAGATTCATTTCTCTGAAGAGCCTTGATCAGCAATATTGAGAGAATTATAGGTTTTATAGAATTATATTTTAAATTGTGATGAGGCAAGGTAATTTGTTTTGGAATATGGAAAACTTTGGGGATCAGAAAAGATTTGAATAGAATTGCTTTAGTACTTTTGAGGTTAGATTGGGACATTGGCTGCCTGGAGATATGGAAAGAGATTGGGAAAAGAGTAAAGAAAGAAGTGTGGAAAAATCCCAAAGACAGATTTTGCCCATTGCAAAATTTAAGCGAGAATATGCCCTTTTTGTCTAATCTTTCCTCCTCTGCATAGCCTTTTCCCATAAAACCCCAAACTTGGCTTAGTGACAGTTAGTGCTGGAATTCATCTATATTATGAGGGAAAAAGTTTTTGCCAGTTAGTTTCTGAAGGACCTGATATTCATACCATGTTTCTAAGAGAGAAAATGTATTCTGTCTTTCAAGTGGTTTGTAAGTAGGAATTTGGATATAACTGGTCTGAACTGCCTGTAACTCAATACTAATCATAAAACAACATAACCTTGCCTTCAGTGCTGGCCTCTGCCAATTGTAGCAGCTGGCCTACTGTCCAAGCTCTTGTTTATTTGGTACTCTTCTTTGTGTTGCTGCTTCAATTCCTGGGATCTTGTATAGATATCATTTTACAGTTAAGCTGTAGAGATGTAGTTGTTGGTGTGTATAGAGCAGTATGTACAGTTTCAGGCCATCAGCCAACTATTGGTTGAGGAAGAGCCCTAGTTCTGTTTCCAGCATCCTCACTAATGACTTGGGTGGACTTAGGCAGTCAGTTTAACCTCTCTGGGACTGAGTTTCCTTTTTTAAAAAGTTGAAATAATAGGTGCCTCATTCTTCCTACAGTTTAGGAATATTAAATAAATCGTTATCAAAAAGTTTGAAAAGTATAAAGCACAATGTGAATAGTTACTTCTAATAGTAATATAATATGGAAAAGGTCTTTGTAAACTTTAGTGTTCGAGGTTTTTTTATTTTTTTTCTGAGTGATATACCTACTATATGCATGAAGGGTTTTGTTATTTTGTTATACTTTTTTCTTAATGGAAAGTGAGAAATATGTATCTTTGAGCAGCCAAATAAGAATTTAAGGTTAAAATTATGTTTCTTTAGATAAATTAACTTTGAAGATTCCTTGGAAGAACCTTTATGGAGAAGCAGTTGTTGCGACCCTAGAGGGATTATACCTGCTTATTGTTCCAGGAGCAAGTATGTTATTTTAGGTTGTAACCATTCAGTAATATCAGAGTGAAATTAAATTGTTACCTGGGTTAACTATTTTAATATGTTTAGTAAAATAGAAGATAATTTAAATAAACTAATCAGATGCATATGCACATATATACATACATTTTACATATATACCCACGTATATATTGCCACATTTGTATGTAAAATGGTTTTGTTATTTTTGGAAAGCATAATTTCAACCACTTGTTAAATTTATTCTATCCTGTATGAATAATTATTTTGCAATTAAGCCTTCATATTAAGTTGAGATACATCAAGCAGATTTATTTTTGGGGAATAAATAAACTTAAGTTTTAAGAAATGATGTGTTAATCTACAGATTGGAAATTTTTTCCCCCATTTTGTTGCTTCTGATTTTGAGTGAATGTTCTCTCAAAATTGTGTGTAGAATAGGTAATTTTTCATTATCAATTATAGTATTTTAATTTTTAATGAATGTCTTAAAGCAGTGATGTTTATTTAAGTAATACCTTTCATTACTAATGTTTTTTTCAGTTACAAGAACAATATAATTTTAACAAAAGTTGGGACATTTTAGGGGAAAATTACTTAAATTTTCTCAACCGTAAAACAAACACAATATTTATTTTTATATTTTGCTTCCAGTCTTTACCATATACATCGTTGATTTGATCTAACACTTATCACATTATGTATGTAACATGGATCTGGCTTTTTCACTTTACATATATGGATATTTTTGACATGTTTCACAGTTTTCATGATGATAGAATTTTGAAAGGCTTTATGAAATTCCATTGTGGGCTGCCTACTGTTTTTTGCTATTGTAGTGAACATTATAAATACCTCCTTATAGATATCTTTTTTATTCTTTAGTTTTATTTCTTTAGGATATGTTATCAGAAATGAGATTACCAAATAAAAAGGATATGTATATTTCATGATTGTTGATACATGTTCTTGAATTACTTTCTAAAAGTCTTTTTTATCAAGCTACATCAATAACAGCTGATATTGGATATTACATTTTTTTGGTAGTTACTCAGAAGTTTAACACTGAATTTCCAACATAAATTTCCTGCCCTCCCTGTGTTTCTCCCTTTAATTTTTTTACTCATGCTTTTCCCCTCTTATCCCTTTTCATATCTTCCTTTCTCCCTTTGAATTTCTTTCTTCCCTCTTTTCCTTTTTGATTAAGCTTTGTAAATAAATAGGAATCGTTTATGTTTAAACTTTTTATAAAACTTCTAAAGAGTGCAACTGTTCTTTGATTTATAAAAAACTGAATTACATTACACACACAATCATGAGGCTGAACTTTTCCTATTTGTTTATTATTTGCATTTCTTTATTTGTGAATTAACTATATATTTTTAGGTATTAAATATGATGCTGAAAAAGAAGAAAAATCTTTGCAAGACATTAAACAGAAAGAGCTATCCCGAATTGAAGAAGCTCTTCAAAAAGCAGCCGAGAAAGGTATAGTAAAGTTTATGTTTTAGATAAACTTAGATATACCTATATTTTAGATATATTTAATGCACTGTAAAGAGAAAGCTTTCATAAACCTTCCTAAGCTGTAGTTCCAAGGAAAGAATCTTTTAGAATCATATCTCAAAGAATTGATTATAAACATTTTAATGATTCATGTTTAGGAGTGAGTCAATGCCTTTTTCTGTAATTGTTTTATCTCACTGCTAAGGCATTTGTCTTTGGTCTCTCTTAAAAGGTATGGCAAATGTTAAGTTAGAAATGACAGACGTATTTATATATGAGATTTCTTTTCCTAGCATAAGCTGCTGACATTTAATTGAATCAGTAAGAAGTTTCTCTTAAAAATAGCTTACTCATTAAAATCCTTTTCAATGATTCTAATTCTCTTTGCCCCAAGGATTTTCTCATACATAGAATCATTGATTCTTTTACACAAATTACTAAAGTACTTAAAATATAGAGGCAATCCTAATGGAAGAAATAAACAAAGCCTAAACATGTTTTTCCCCTTTTCTTTTCATACTCAGGCATATTTTGTATTTTTTGCTAAGCTTAGGATTCTATGTTTTTATGAAAAGTTTTTATTACTTTTATGTACCAAATAAAGCAAGGTGGGAGTCGTTTCATTTTATGACAACTCAGTGTGATTATTTCTTTTTATTTACTTTTGGTTAATTAGTATAAGTGGAAATAGTAGTATAAAAATATGGAGAAAGACTCGAAATGCACTAGAATTTCATCTTTTTCTTGATACAGTTTAGATTCAGTGCATTTTCTTAGCACACATATATTATGTATATTCATCAATAAGTATATTGACATATACTTAGATATCTTGTTTTAACATATGATTATACATTCATCATTTATAATATATATTATTAAGTTATAGTTTCCCTTTTGAGAAACAAACCCCAAAGTCCTCTAATTTTTTGGATAGAAATAACTGTGATTGCTTAAAAAAATATTTTAGTGTTTCTAATGAATTTTAAGAGAAAAATGTGGTATAGTCTTTCCTGTTTTAGTAGTTGACAGCTTAATTGGAAAAATGATACCTGCTATACACTTTATATTGAGGGCCTATGAGATAGATTTTGACTTCAGGGTTTTTGATGCTGAGGAAACTTTTATACTCATATGTTTGGGTCTGGTTGAGAGGTTATTAAGGATGATTTGATATATCTATAGGGATGAACATCTGCAGTATTAAGTTTATATAAATAGGACTATGAGGCTTATATAATATAATTACATTGTAGTTTCTTAGATACAATTTAGGTTTTGTTGGGATAGAACTAAAATTCAGAAAGTGAAGCTTTGTTTTCACATTATTATGTTAAAGTTGTCAAAAAATATTCTGAGTATATAAAAGAGATGAATTTAGGGATTGGGAAGTATGTTGATAGAAATTATTTTTTTCCTCCATTGTCAAGAAATACATTAATTATCTTGACTGCATATAAATGTTTTTTCTACTTTGTATGAATATGGGTCACCATCTTCATGTAATATTATTCATGTAAATGATAAAAGAGCCCTGGCCCATGAGATGCTTTGCATTTTATCATTAATTAATAGTTATGTAATTACCAGACTTTATTTTTCAGATTTATTATTTTTGCACTTCTTGATTTTAAAAGCACAAAAGCACCATCACACATGTATAGGGACTCAGATGAGATGAGAAAGTGATTTAATTCTAAACAACAGATGATAAAAATGAAAAAAAACAAAACTCTCAAGCTGACTTTCTTTAAAAAAATATTTTTACTTAATTTGTTTTATTTGATGAAATAGAATGCTGCCCAGTATCATGTGGGAGAAATAGAAAATTGAAATATAACTGAGTTCATTTCTAGAGAATTTGCATAATTGTAAAAATAAATTCCTTGATGTTTTCTTTTTTTATTTCACTATAGTGAGTTTATGTCCCTAGAAAAGCTATTATAAAGTAAAGGAAAAGTTTAAATTCCTAGTGAGGCCAAAAGATTCTCAAATGCTATAGATTCTGTTTTTAAAATGTTAATTTGATCAAAGTAATATATATACACACAATTTATAATCAAATAGTTTTGCAAGCAAGACTTCTGATGAAAAATGTCAGTCCCCTGTTCCACCCTTTTCTACCCTTTAGATCCATTCCTTAGAGGAAACCATCATTTTAGAAATGTTAGCATTCTGTCATTATTTAATTTATGACTGTAAGGCATTACCTAGGATTTCCTGTTAATGGTAGTCAAGGAGTTTACCTCTTACCATTTCTTTCATGCTGAATTCCCCTCCGTATCTCCTCATAATATGGTTATATCATAATTTTTGCCCAATTGCTAGCCAAAATTAAATTACTATGACAATATATTGGGTTGTCAGAAAAATCATGATGCATTTTTGCAACGAAAAACATAGAAAAAATACATCATGACTTTTCCGACAATCTGTTATCGTTCACTGCATATGTCAAATGATGTATTTTGATTATGTTTCCTTTCTTATGCAACCTTTTGTTTTTCTTGATTTTGTAAGCGTTTCTTTTTTTTTTGCTTCGTCTTCCATGTCAACTTATGTTTAATTCTTTTCACGTGCTATTTGAAATCTATGTTATATGACTTAATGTTATTTTCCAGTTGCCCGTATCCATCTATTGGTCCCCTCTCCATTCCCCTTTTTCTCATGGAGATCTCCCATTGAACTGGTGGTTTTCTTAGTCCTGCTACACAGTTGTCAGTCATCTTGGGACTGGCGTTCATCACTCTTCTGTGTTTAGTTCATTGTTTCCTGTGTCCTTCGCCTTCTGTTCTTTATTAGTTTGTTCCTTTGTTTTGTTGGAGCATATCTAATAGCTTTTAAGAAAGGATGCACTGGACATAATTTTAAAAATCTTTGCAAGTTTGAAAGTCTGTATTTTACTTCCACACTTGTTTGAGTTGGCTGGAGATAGAATCCTATGGTTAAAATTAGAATTTTGAAGGCAGTATCATTTAGCTTGCAGGCACTTTTGAGAAGTCTGATACCAATCTGCTCGACACATTGTTGGAAACACAAAAATTAGAAAATCCCTGGATCCTGCTGTTAACAACCTTACATTTTAGTTGGGAAAATAAGACTTGTGCATAATAATAAACAGAAAGTGTTGAGTCCCATCAAAGGTACAGCTAGTGGGTTAAGGGAGTTCAGAATGGATATATGTTTAGCCACAGTGATCAGGGCAGACATGGAAGATGTATATATTTCAATTGGGACTAAAGGATGAGTATCCAGAAAGGCACGAGGGGACAGTGAAGGTGGAAAAGTATAGAGCATGAATGGGGAATAGCTGAAAATTTGGGAGTTTGATAGAGAGTAGTTAGAGGTAAATTGGAGAGCTATCTTTAGGTCAATTTTAAGAGATTTGAATGCCATGATGATGACAATAGCTGACATTTATTGAGCATTTACTGTTTGCCTGTCCCTATTCAAAGTGCTTTATAGGAATTGACTCATTTAGTAGTGATAACTCTATGATATAAGGGCTGTTATTATTCCCATTTAATAGCTGAGAAAGCAGAAAGTTAAATAACTTGTCTTATGTCACACAGCTAGAAAATGATAGAGCTAGAATTTGAATCCAGTCAGGCTCTAGGTCCTATACGTTTAGCTGTTAATAATGGACTTGAATCTAGCTAGTGGGAGAGTCAGTAACTTTTCCCTTTTCTTTCATTAAAAATCCTGGGAGTGACGTGACCAGAGAGTTGTGTTTTAGGAAGGTTAAAGTTGCTGTGGTGTTTAGGCTGATTTTGGGAAGGAAATGGGAAAGAGGGTACTATCTAGCTATCATAGAAGGAGTAGAAGAGATTTAGTGTATCTAACGGGAACAGATCAGACTAAAAATAAGGTGAGTTCATTTCAGCTGACTCTAAAATTAGTGTAAATATCACAGCAATGTTTCATTCTGAAAATGGGCAAGTGGTAGTCAAAAAGGAAACCAAAAATAGAAGACTTTTGCTGTGCTTGAAAATTTGTCAAATAATTCAGTGGGACATTAGCCATAATTGATATTTGTCTGCCTTGCTTAATTTAAAATTATTGTTATGATTTTAATTATTAAGAATTTTTGTTTTAATATTATGAAAATAGTTTTTATGTTGAAATAATGAAATTATGTCACTAAATATTTCCTTAGAAATAAATCGTTCTGGTGTCACTGAATTTTATTTGTTCTGTTACATGAATTCTAATTCTTTGAATTAAGTTTAGACATATTTTACATGTGAAATTAAAGGAGTCTTTTAAATGCTTTGCATTTTGGTTATTGCTGCCATGCGGATGCAGGCGCACATTCAGGGGAGTTCATATATGGCTTGGAAAACTTTGTTTACAAGGACATCAAGCCTGGTGGGTATGCATGGTTAATTATATTCAGCTATATAAAACAGTTGTATTCTTATCTATGCTTGTGCTTTTAATGGAGTCCCTTTGATGATGTGGCATTCTTTTAAAAAATATGGAAATGTAATTCATGTTTTGCTCCTTTACCATCACTTCCTTTTCCCTACCTTCTGCAGCCATTTATTTATTCACTAAATATTTAGTGTCTTCCTGTGACAAGCACCATGCTGGATGCTGAATGTTCATGGGGTAAAACAAATATGATCCACTGCCCTTGTGAAGCTTACAGTTTGATCTATAGATAACTTTATGTTTTTAAAAATTTCCTGACATTTCTTATTGAAGTATAATTGACATACAACATTCTATTAGTTTCAGATGTACAGCATAATGACTTGTCATTTGTATACACTGCAGAGTTATCACCATAATAAGTCCAGCCACCATTTGTCACCATATGAAGTTATAAAAATTTTATTTATCTTGTGAAGAGAACATTTAAGATGTACTTTCTTAGCAACTTGCAAATTTGCTATGTAATAGTATTGACTATAATCACCATGTACATTACATCCCTATGATTTATTTATTTTATATCTGGAAGTTTGTACTTCTTGATCCCCTTGATGCATTTCACACCCCCAAACCTCCCACCCACCCCGGCATCCATTATTATGTTCCCTGTATCTATGAATGTTGTTTGGTCTTTTATTTTTATTTTAGATTCCACATATAAGTGAAGTCGTGTTGTATTTGTCTTTCTCAGTCTGACTTCTTTCACTTAGCAAAATACCTTCAAGGTCCATCCATGTTGTTGAAAATGGCAAGATTTCATTCCTTTTTATGGCTGAGTAGTATCCCACTGTGTATATATACCACATCTTTATCCATTCATCCATTGATGGACATTTAGGTTATTTCTATATTTTGGCCATTGTAAATCATTCTGCAGTGAATATAGGGGTGCACATATTTCCTAAAATTAGTGTTCTCATTTTTTTTTTTCAGACAAATATCTAGAAGTGGAATTGCTGGGTCATATGGTAGCTTTATTTTTAATTTTGTGAGGAGCCTTCATACTGTGTTCCATATAGTGGCTGCACAAATTTACCTTCCCGCCATCTGTGCACAAGTGTTCCCTTTTCTCCACATCCTTCCCAACACTTGTTATTTCTTGTACTTTTGATAATAACCATTATGACAGGTGTGAGGTGATATCTCATTTTCCTGATTATTAGTGATGGTGAGTGTTTTTACATTGGCCATCTGTATGTCTTCTTTGGAAAAATGTCTACTCAGATCCTCTGCTCATTTTTTGATCAGATTGTTTATTTTTTTGTTATTGAGCTGTGTGAGTTCTTTATATATTTTGGATATTAACCCTTATTATCAGATATATGATTTGCAAGTATCTTCTCCCATTTAGTAGAGGTTGTCTTCTTATTTTGTTGGTGGTTTTCTTTGCTGTGCAGAAGCTTTTTAATTTAATGTAGTCCTGTTTCTTTATTTTTGCTCAAATTGCCATTGTCTTTGGAGTCAGATCAAAAAAAATATCACCAAGAGTGATTCAAGGAGCTTACCACCTATGTTTTCTTCTGTCTTACATTTAAGTCATTAAGCCATTTTGAATTATTTTTGTGTATGGTGTAGGATAGTGGTCTAGTTTCACTTTTTTTTTGCATGTGGCTGCCCAGTTTTTCCAACACTATATATTGAAGAGACTGTCCTTTTCTCATTGTATATCCTTGCCTTCCTTGTTGTAAATTAATTGACCGTATATGCATGAGTTTATTTCTGGGATCTCTGTTCTGTCCCATTGATCTATGTGTCTGTTTTTATGCCAGTACCATACTGTTTTGGTTATTATAGCTTTGTAATACGTTTTTTATTTTTTTTAAAGATTTTTATTGGGGAATTGTGGAGATGGGAACAGCGATGGGGAATTGGGGGAAGGGGAACAGACAAGTTTTGTTCTTCAATCTCGTTGTGGAGGACATTGCTTCAGTGGCCCAAGTTGGCGCCATCATTGCAGTCTTCCCGGGTGAGGCAGATCAGTCGCCGGCTTCTGGACGGCCGCTCACTGCGGCTGCTGGCCGCTCACGCTGGCTGCTGGCTACACACGGTAGCCCATGGCAACCCACTGCAGCAGGGGCTGCAGCCTACGCCGTTCCCGCAATTCACAGCAGCCCAGCTCCAGGTTGAGCTGTTGTTCAGCATCTTAGCTGTGGAGGGCAGTTTTGCTGGGGGCAGTGGGATCCGAACCGGGGCCCTCTGGCGTCCCAAGCCAGTTCTTAACCATCACGCCACTCGGCCGGCCCTGTAATACAGTTTTAAATGAGGGAGCATGATGCTTTCAGCTTGGTTCTTCTTTCACAAGATTATTTTGTCTATTTGGGATCTTTTGTGGCTCCATACAAATTTTAGTATTGTTTGTTCTATTTCTGTGAGAAATGTCTTTGGAATTTTGGTAGGGGTTGCATGGAATCTGTAATATAATACAGACTTATACTGTAGTACAATTTAATAATATTCTTCCAATTCATGAGCATGGAATATCTTTTCATTATTTGTGTCTTCTTCAGTTGCTTTCATCAGTGTCTTATAGTTTCCAGTGTATAGGTGTTTAAATTTATTTTTAGGTATTATATTCTTTTTGATGTAATTATAAATGGGGTTGTTGTTTTAATGTCTCTTTCTTGTAGTTCATTCTTAGTGTATAAAAACACAGAAGATTTTTTTTTTTTAGAGTTTAATGAGGAATTGGGGGAGGGGAACAGACAAGTTGCTGTCCTTTGGTTCTTCAGTCTAGTTGTGGAGGGTGTTGCTTCACTGGCCCATGTTGGTACTATCATTGCGCTCTTCCCAGGTGAGACAGTTGCTGATCATTAGATGGCCACTCACAGCGGCTCACGGCAACTCATGCTGGTTGCTAGCCACTCATGGTAGTTAACGGCAGCCCACTGCAGCAGAGGCTGCAGCCTATGCTGTCGCTGGCGACTCATGGCAGCCCAGCTCAAGGTCGCGCTGTTGTTCACCATCTTAGCTGTAGAGGGCGCAGTGTCACTGGCTGTCATGTGGGATTTGAACTGGGGCTGTACTGCTCAGAGCTGGAGTCCCAAGCCAGCTCTTAACCAATGCACCACTGGACTGGCCCACATTTTTGTATATTGACCTTGTACCCTGAGACTTTACTGGATTTTTTTATTCTAACAATATTTTGTCAGTGTCTTTAGAGTTTTCTATATATAAAAACATATCATGTGCAATTAGGGAATTTTACTTCTTCCATTTCAATATGGATTCCTTTTATTTCTTTGTTTTGCCTAATTGCTCTGGCTTGAACTTTCAATACTATGTTGAATAAAAATGGCAAGAGTGGGCATTTTTTGTCTTCTTCCTGATCTTAAGGGAAAATATTTCAGCTTTTCATTATTAAGTATGATATTAGCTGTGGGCTTGTCATATATGGCCTTTATTATGTTAAGGTATGTCTGTCTATACCCACTTTATTGAAGTTTTTATCATAAATTGCTGTAGAATTTTGTCATGCTTTTTCTGCATCTATTGAAATGATCTCATGATTTTTATCCTTCATTTTGTTAATGTAATACAAGGTGTTTATTTATGTAAGGATTTTGAACCATCCTTTCATGCTTGGAATAAATCCCACTTGATCATGGGTGTATTATCCTTTTAATGTATTGTTGAATTTGATTTGTTAATATTTTGTTGAGGACTTTTGCATCTATGTTCACTAGGGATATTGGTCTGTAATTTTCTTTTTTTGTGTGTTGCCTTTGTCTGGTTTTGGTATTAGGGTAACACTGGCTGTGTAAAACGTTGGCTGCATAACATCTTCGATTTTTTTAAAGAGTTCAAAAGCAAGATAGGTATTAAATCTTTTTTGATTATTTGGTAGAATTCACCAGTAAAGCTTTCTGGTCCTGGATGTTTGTTTGTTGGGAGTTTTATGCTTACTGATTCAGTCTCCTTACTAATAATTGGTCTATGCAGAATTTCTATTTCTTCATGATTTAGTCTCGGAAGTTCTATGTTTCAGCATAAAATATGTATGCCGTCCAATTCTGTTGGTTATAATTGAACCAGCTTTCTGTAGTCTGCCAGGCGCAGTGTTTTATAAGATCCTTCTAGGAGTAACCTGCCTTTAAGATACAAATGAATTCCAGTGGCCCATTTAAATACTGGGGGTGCCAATAAAATGTATACATATGACTTGTATTCATCTTTTGTTATTAGTATATATTGAGTATAACAATTTTAATACAGTTTTTTCCTTTCTTAAAATGTATATACATTTTTTTGGCACCCTCTGTATATAAAAAAAGTCATTGGACAGCATTGTTTAAAAAAACAACAAAGAGTTGCTATAAAGGAAAACATAATTGATTCAGTTTCCTGTTATTTCAAAAAAGGTACGTTAGCCTGGGTAAAAAACTAGACCTAGAATATTGATTCTGAAATGAGAATAGCTAATTTTGTTGATATCTTCATTAAGTTGGCTAGACCTTAATGTATACTTTATGATACTTTCATTTTTTTTACTTTCTAGGTATATATTCCTTCCTCATTTAATGTCATTTTTAAAATTATTCTAGAGCCATAGTTCTCAAAAACTCAAAAGTATTTTCATAATAATACTAAGGCACTATTGGTTCTTCACAGTGTTGACATTGGTGCTGATGGTGCAAAAGAAATGCTATGTAAAATTGCTTCCTGCCTTGGCATGAATCAAGGCAGTGGCACCAAACTGTACTACTAGACAATTGTATTGTTCACCACCATGCATTCGCAGTAAAAAAACAAAGTAAAATTAAATTTAAAAAGCACAAATTTTACCTACAAAAGTTCTTGATCAAGTAGGAAAATTTTAATGAATTTCAGCTCTTGAGTACATGTGACTTTTTAATATTTCATGTGACAAAAGAGGAAGTATGCATAAAGCACTTACGCACATGGAATTAGGATAATTTTCTCAAGGAAAAGTACTTGTGCAGTTGTTTGTATTGCCAGCTGAATTAGTTGCTTTTTTCATGGAAAACCATTTTGCTTGAAAGAATGACTGATAGATTATTCATATTTGTGTGTTTGATACATAGTTCAACAAAACAACTTCATGGAAAAACAACTGACAGTGTTTGTTGCCATGATAAGATTTGAGCTTTTGAACAAAAATTAGAATTTTGGGAAACCTGTTTTTACCACCTTAAGCTTGACAGCTTCCTAGGACAGAGAGACTTTTCTGATGAAATTAGTAGTGATATTAACAAGTGTGATTTTTGATACTAAATAATGAAATGACTCAATATTTGGAAGATCTGCATAATTCAATAAAGCAGTATTTCTTATTACCAATGCATGATAACAAATAAGGCATGTGTCAAAGTCCATTTAAAGTGTAAAGTAGGGATGGCCGAGTGGTGCGTTGGTTAAGAGTTGGCCTGGGATGCCAGAGGGCCCCGGTTCAGATCCCACATATGAGGGTCAGTGTCACTGCCCTCTACAGCTAAGATGCTGAACAACAGCTCAACCTGGAGTTGGGCTGCCGGGAGTCGCAGGCAACGGTGTAGGCTACAGCTCCTGCTGCAGTGGGTTGCCATGGGCTACCGTGTGTAGCCAGCAGCCAGCGTGAGCGGCCAGCAGCCACCGTGAGCAGCCGTCCAGGGGCCGGCGACTGATCTGCCTCTCCCGGGAAGAGTGCAATGATGGTGCCAACTTGGGCCAGTGAATCAACGTCCTCTACAACTAGACTGAAGAACAAAATGACAGCAACTTGTCTGTTCCCCTTCCCCCAATTCCCCAGCACTGTTCCCAACCCCCAATTCCCCAATAAAAAAAATCTTAAAAAAAAAAAATCGAGAATAAATGAAAAATTTCAAGCTAAATTTCATGTATAGTCTCCCAAATATATATAACATTAAGTGGCTAATATTTTATTACTTCCAGATGTGCACTTTTTGATTCATTTGAACAGAGAATAATTCCTGTCCTAATGAAGACATATGGTTTTTGACTTTTTCTGTCTGATTTATGTCACTTAGCATAATTTCAAGATCCATCCTGATGGTGGCAAGACATTTGTGCAAGCACTTCAAATAAAGTGTGATCACTACTTAATGGAAGTATGGTGCAGGGTTAGATCTCCTGGAGCTTCTTGGGTTAGTTAAAGAAGGCTTCACATAGGCAGTAGTGCTGGACCTGAAAGTTGGAAGTCTCCTAGGAGTTTGCCTAGTGAAGAAACATCAGGGAGGGCAACACAAGTTCAGAGAATGACACTGTAGAGGCACTAGGAATTAGAATGTTTTATCTTGTCTTGGAAAGTATAAATACTATTTCTGAAATATCCAGTGCAAAGACGAGTGGCAGGAGCTAGAACAGGACTGGGAAATGCGGTCAGGTCATAAAAGGACCTTTGTGTCATGCAAACACTTTTTATTTTATTTGGAAGTCTGCAGAGGACCTTTGAAAAATTTTGTTTTTTTAAAGTTTATTGGATGACAGTGATTAGTAGAGTTACATAGGTTTCAAGTGTACAATTCTGTAATACATCATCTATATATCACATTGTGTGTTCACCACCCAAAATCAGTTCTCCTTCCATCACCATATATTTGATCCCCTTTACCCTCATCTACTACTCCCTAACCCCCTTACCCTCTGGTAACCACTAAACTATTGTCTATGAGTTTTTGTTTCTTTGTCTTGTTCCTTTGTTGCTTTTAGTTTTATATCCCACATACCAGTGAAATCATATGGTTTTTGACTTTTTCTGTCTGGTTTATGTCACTTAGCATAATAATCTCAAGATCCATCCAGGTTGTCACGAATGGCACTATTTCATCTTTTGGCAGAATAGTATTTCATTGTGTACATATATATATCCACATCTTCTTTATCCAATCATCTATCGAAGGACACTTTGGTTGTTTCCATGTCTTGGCCAGTGTAAATAAAGCTGTAATGAATGTTGGAGCACATATATCTTTACAGATAAATGTTTTCAGATTTTTGGGGTAGATACCCAGGAGAGGGATTTCTGGGTCATATGGTAATTCTATTTTTAATTTTTTGAGGCACCTCCACACTGCCTTCCATAGTGGTTGCACCAATCTGCATTTCCACCAACAGTGTATGAGTGTTCCTTTTTCTCCACAGCCTCTACAACACTTGTTATTATTTGTTTTGTTGATGGTAGCCATTCTAACTGGTATGAGGTGACATCTCATTGTGGTTTTTATTTGCATTTCTCTGATGATTAGTGATGTTGATCATCTTTTCATATGTTTATTGGCTGTATGTATATCAAACAAAAAAGCTTCTGTACAGCAAAAGAAACCATTGACAAAATAAAGAGGCAGCCAACCGAATAGGAGGAGATATTTGCAAACAACATCTCCAATAAGGGGCTAATGTCCAAAATATATAAGGAACTCATACAACTCAACAACAACAAAACAAACAATCCAATTAAATAATAGGCAGAGGACCCGAATAGACGTTTCTCCAAAGAGTACATACATATGGCCAATAGACATATAAAAAGATGCTCAACATCACTTTGAAAGAATTTTGAGGAGGAGATTAACAGGCTGTGAATAGTACTTGATGAGATATCAGTCTGGTAGTAGTATAGAAGGATGTTTAATAGGAGTAGAGTGGAGACTAGTGGCAGGGAGACTGCAGAGACTGCCTCAATAATATAGACTAGAGTTGATGTCTAGTTGAATGTAAACATTTGTAATATGGGTAAGATAGGTGTTGGTTAATGCTGTAAAATGAGGGACTGTCAAAAGAGGATTAGCTTTTAAAGAAATTATTAAGTCAGTTTCAATGTACAGTTCAATGTACATTTTATGCCTTTTGTATTCTTTACATCCTAAAGTCATTAAAGGATTTTTCTTGTGAGGTGTATTATTCAGAGGACGTCATCATTGGCAACTTACCATTCATTTCATTTGTGTTCCTATGTCCCTACCACATAAATGTTTATAAAAACATTTATCCTAAAGTTTTATATTGTCATTATTACATTTCCAATATTTTGGTAATATTGAAATTAAAATGAAACTTTGTGTTGTGAAAAGTCATAAATATTATAAAGGCCATTGTGTATGGGTACTTTGCCCAATTTTTGTATAATTGTACCTGCCAAGATATTTTCTAGATTAAAGGTTATTCTAGACTAAAGAAGGTAAAGAAGGTTTGTGAATTTCTGTTTATACTGAAATAACAGGTCAGCTTAGAATAAAGTAAGGTGATTATACCTAAATTTGCTGTCGGGAAGAATTCTCTTGCTTTCTTTTCTGTCCTTTAGTCTGCTAACTTGAATTTTATCCTTTTCCCACTAAAATGCTTCCACTGAGAAGGACGTAAGCGTAAAAAGCACAAAAAACATTTTAAGAAACCTTTTAAAGGTCTTGATCGCTCAAAAGGTAGGTAAAAATAGTTTTTATGCCATGTGTTATTTGTACACATTGCCACTTGATTTCTGTCTTCGGAGGTAAAATGAATGTTAGATTACAATGTAACTTCAAAAATAAGTTTTAAGTTGGAAATTCATATTAAAATCTAAAATAAATCTAAAATAAAACAAGGACATTACAAAAGCCTGTAACTTCCATTGAGTGGTACCTTAGCTATCCTTTGGTCATTGATTATGAGGTTTGTGAGAATTTCAATTGTTGAGCTTGCATTTTTCTATATTTTATAGATAAACCAAAAGAAGACAAAAAGGACACATTTTTGGAAAAATTGGCAACTCAAGTAATTAAAAATGTACAAGTAAAAATCACAGACATTCACATTAAATATGAAGATGATGTAAGTAATTTTAGTTTACTCAGTTACGTTAGTAATTAAATGTGTATTTTATAGTTTTGATTTGTCTATATATGGATTATCTATACCCTGTTTTAAATCGAAGATTGATTGTTTTCTCATCAGTATGCTACCATTTTTCCTTTCTTCTGTTATGCTTTCTTCATGGGGCATTTATGAGTGTAAACATATCATAAAGCCATCTTATGCTCCCTTCTAAAGCTAATTTAAGAGATGTCCAGATTGTCTTCTATGTTTATTTTGAATTTTGCTTAATGTCTTAAGAATAATTTTATTTTTATCCTGACAAAAATATTATTCCAAGAGGTGACAAAATAATCAATTATAATGGTAGAGAGGGGACTAAAACCCTGGTCACTTGACTGCTAGTCCCATGCTCTTTACGTTCCATAGTTAGATGGAACACCCACGATTACCCACATACATGTGCAACTATAGATTTAAAAACCTAACTTCATTTACAACCAAAAGTTTAATATTAGTTGATTAAACTTTGTTACTGATTTTATTAATTTTAGTTAAAATGTAACTAATATTTTGAACTTACGTATTACTTTGTTTTAAAGTTTGAAACATATGTAAGAAACCTTGAATTTTTTCATTTTCCTAAGAAATTAGAAATGTTATTATTCTGTCTCTTCTAAAATGGAGTTTGCATTCTTTTTTAAAATTTGCTTTAAATTTGGATTGAATTGAAGCAGTTCTGACATATATTGATTTTATTTTTCTTTCCTGGTAAGTTTCTTATGTAACAATGTTCAGTAAGACACACTTAATGTTTTTCAAAGATATACTATTTCTATTTTATACTGACTTACGTTTTGGTTTCATGTAGTCCTTAAACTGAACTTTTTTTTTTTTAAACATATGTCTAAAAAATCCTAACCCATCAGTGGCCTTGTTTAAAACAAACTTAGGAAAGTAAAATCTACTCAACATATCCCCTGACTTTTCCACAAATCCATTTGGGTTGTGTGACTTATTTGTAAACTAATTGCCCTATGTTGCCTATGTAACGATGTAACGAGTGGAGTATAGATTCACTCTCATCATCAGTCTATTTTAATGTAATCTTTTCTTCTTTGATAGGTCACTGATCCAAAGCGGCCTCTTTCGTTTGGTGTCTCACTGGGAGAACTTAGTCTATTGGTAATGTTGGCCTTATTTAAAATATTTGTGGAACCTGTAAAATATTATTCCCAAGCCACAGGGTAAATTGCCTAAAATCAACTATTGCTATACATAGCTATCTTATTTTTATGTATAATCTTTCTACAGCTTTTCTAGAAGTTCAAAAGTTTTAGTGATGCCATTATTACATTCTCTAATTATTATGATTTGTCTTTGAATTCAACAAATATCAAAATATCAATATCAAACATTTTGAAAGAATTAAAAGCTGTCTCTTAAACATGTGGGAAAGTAGGGGAAGATACGTAAGTTTCTTTAGAGTCGTGTTCTCATCCTTTGTTAGGTAGATGGAATTTCCAAATACTTTGCACATATGTGTATATTTATGTGTACGTGTGTGTGTATCATAGTGATATGTATATAATAATTTATTTTGATTAATTATTTTATGATGCCATTTGGTTTTTCTCTTAAAGGTCTTTAATGATAGTGTGTATATCCATGTTAGACATTTTTTTCCTGTTATGGACAACTAAGTGGTAGGAAATATATTTTAAAGTTAAGGACAGTGAACATTGAGTCATACTGGGTACATGTTTGCCTTATGATTAGTTATATGGATAGGGCCTTTAATAGGAAAAGAAGAGGAAAAAAATGAAAGAGAAGTGGACTGCCGGAGAAACATGGTTACATGGAGGTCTTAGAATGATACAGGTATACAGAGAAGTAGAGATACGCATTGGATTGAAGACCAAAGCAGAAGCATTAAAGAAAAAAGAACTAGAGAAACAGAAGAAAGGGAATCAGGAAGCTAGTGTTTAATATACTATTTATCCTGTGCATGTTTCCAAAATGCATTTGAAGTACCTTTTGATAAAGAAATATATAATAACACCTTTAAAGATATCAGAATCTGTGTTCTGAAAGAGAGAGAGGTACTGGTTCTAGAAATTTTAGATTAACATCAGTCATAAGTGAGCAGTGGATTTAATGTTGAGCTTCTAGCAGACAAAAGAAAAAATACAAAATATCGACTGGTATGCGTATCAGTATGACTGGTACCAGTCATATGCATACTAGTGCGTAAGAATGATGTATAGCTTCCTTAGTGTGTTTCCTTAGCTTTTGTTTGATTCTCTGTATCTTTGCTTAGACTTCTCATACTGTTCTCTTTGTATTACCCTCTTCCCTTTGTTTGCCTGGCAGTTCTATTCAGGTTTTCATACTTGTGTGAGATATAACCTTGTCTTTCTCATTCTTTTTTTACTTCCCTCTTAGAATTTATCATTCCTTCTTTTATGCTCCCCATTGTATTTTATCAAAGCACACCTGTGACATATTATTGTATTGGTTACCATGTTGGTCTCCTTCTACCTAACCTTTATGCATTCATTGATGCAAAATAAAATACTGATAAAAATATAGTACCTATATTTTAGTGTTTTTGTGATAATTAAATGAGATAGTTAGTGTAAAACGTTTGGCACATTGACTGGCTCAGTTATTTCCTGCTTCAGCTACTGTACTGACTGTTGTAACAACAGCAAACTTACCTCTTTTTGTATCTGTGCCATACCTTTCTTCCATCTTTCCAATTATAATCAAACTCTATATCCAAGGTAATCTTCCATCTCTACTCTGGATCCTATCCTCCCACATGTCCGCAGGAGCCTTTTCTCCCCTTCTCTCTCTCCCTTCCTCCCTTCCTTTCTCCCTTTCTTTCTTTTTTTTCATCAATTTTCTTCTCTGTCCTAAATCTTCAATTCCTCCCCTCCATTTTCTTCCCACCCCTCACTCTTTCTTGTAAGTATTTAAACACATTCAAGTCTCCTTTACAACAAAATTAAAAGCCCTCTCCTTAACCTTCTCCCACCCCACAGGCTCCATCTACATACCTGCCTTCTCTTTCTCTTCTTTCTAACTAAGCTTATTGAGATAATTTTCTGTCTTTGTTAAATTTATTTCCCCACTTCCTGTTGCTCCCTACCCACTGTACCCTGACTCTGCTACCCCTTTGGAACTGTTCTTAACGAGTTTGTCAGTAACACCCTGGCTGCTACATAAGTTTAATTTAGTTTATTTTATGGAAGCATTTGGCATTGCTGACCACGCTGATTTTCTAGAAACATGGTCATGTTGTGATTTCCATATTTTCCTGGTTTTCTCCCTACTTTGCAATAATTATTTATTTGATTTTTAAAAAGAGAGTGGATCTTCTTAAATAGCTTAAAGGCTAGCTTTCTGTTTTAATTCATACCCAATTCCTTTCACAGTTCCAACACATAGTAGCTCAATAATTATTTTCTGGATCAGTGAACTCAGTTAAATTAGAAACTCCTCAATTCTATTTTCACTGTTCCCTTGATTTTGTCATATAATATGTAAAGAAACAGATTGCCAACGTTAGCTAAATATCTTTTCTTCCTAAGTTATTTTGTTATAGTTTACAAATATTAGAGTACTATTTTGTGATATATATACTTCTTTTTACAGTTATTGTTTTTTTCTTTTAGACTGCAAATGAACACTGGACTCCGTGCATATTAAATGAAGCTGACAAAATTATATACAAGGTATTAGACTAGATTAAAAGTTTCTTGTTATTTTCTTAGGCACAAACACTTTATGCATTATCTTGAAGAAACCTTGATGGAGCAGACTGTGCCATTGGAGTGTGTGTTGAATGTATAGGCTGTAGTTTTGGCACTGCTGCTTACTGTGTGACCTTCTATAACCCTTTACCTATTTTGAGGTTTAGGTTCTTCACCTAGCATATAAAGAAACTGGATAAAATTAATATACCTCAGATTGTATTTTATGGAGTATTAAGTAATTAAGTTATTATTAGATTTGTAGAAAAAATATTCTCTTAAGATTGCTGACTACAGTATTAAGCCGTACATAGTTAAACAAGTATGTTTCATTTTGTTTTAAACTGCAGGACTTCACAGTACTTTAAACATGCTAATGAACACTGTAAATATTCAAGAGGGATTATTAGTATGTAGCTTTCCCCACCTTTTTGATTATAGAATCCTTTCCCTTCTGCCCCCTCTTAAAACAGCCATTCAGATCCACTGGAGGAATCATGTCTTTCTTATTTAGCAGAACATTTATAGGGTCTGTTAATAAATAATAATAAATGATAATTGAATGAATGAATGGATCCTCTTAGAAATGGCATCCCTGGAAGCACAATTTAGCAAATGCTAGATTAATAATAAAGTCTGTGATAACATGCATATATTTTCCCCTATTTTTGCATTATTTTCTTTCCTTTAAAAGTTCAAAATGGCAATTGGATAATTTTGGGGTACTGAACATGAGAATAATCTTTTAATATTGATTCATAATTTCAATGTGTTAGTTGCTTGACCTCTTTCATTTTTCTTTTATAGCTTATACGACTTGATAGCCTTAGTGCCTACTGGAACGTAAACTGCAGTATGTCTTACTATGGATCAAGGGAACAGATCTTGGTAATTTTACTTTATACCTGGAAGCAATGACTACACTCCCTAAATTTGTTTACCATAAAAGGTCCTTAATGAGTACCGGATACCAGTCTTTTGTAAAATTGTGTATAATTCAATCAGAAGTGTGAAAAAGCTTTTGGAATCCATTCTGTCTTTAAAAAAGCAATTTTGTTTTTGAAGATCTTTGTGAAATCATTCACTAGACAGTGAAATGAGAACCTATACTGTTAAATTGAAGCAGCATTTATGGTTTTTACACTCTAGTTTTGATGGCATTCCGGTTACATTGTGGTGTTTCATATGAGAATGATTACTTGAAGCGTATTGTAAACAAACATGATACCTTTCAGACCTAAAGAATCTATCTTTAGCAAATGTTTTAAGCATTTGTGATAATGATTTGCTGAACAGTGAAAGGTTAATTTAAAACTTCAGTTTGCTAAACCAGTCTTAGTCATGTTTAGTTACTTAGAGGAGAAAGGAAGAAGAGTTGAATTTTTGGAACAGAATTAATTCTAGGAGTCTATCTCTTATTTCTCAGATACTGTAACAAATAATTTGCTTTTGTCTAGGAAGTGTTGGAGATCCCATTTCATGGACGTTTATGTAGATGTATATTTTTTAATGTTAGAGGGAAACACAATGTTATAAAGTTTCTTGGTATTTAGAATTTTGAAAATTATCTACTTCTATATTTTATTGTAAAGAAATAAACCTATAAATGATGCTCCGTGTTTTTTTTCCCCAATGGATTACCAATTACAAAGAGAAAAGATACTGATTTTTTTTGCATGTTTGGCAGAATGTGTGTGCATTTTATTTTTCATTTTCATATAATTAAAATTTTTTCTTTAGGATCACTTGAAAAGTGAAATTCTCACAAGTAACAATATACCCCCCAACCATCAATATAGTAAGTAATGGTGAAAGTTTATTTCATGTTATAGGAAGCCTGGAATTAAATATTTTAATACACTTTTTCTGATAAAGTTACTTTGACAAAGAGAAAGTATTAATTTTATACCTTAGTTTTATGATATAGTATATTTGGATTATAACTAATTATTTAAGAGTAGATTATAACACTTACACTGCTTGAGAGTAAGAGAGAGAAGGGCAATATGGTCGTAGTTCACTCCCCGCAGCTAAGCCCCTTGACCTCTGTGTTTTCTACTTGTTATATATCATCTTCTTTGTTTTAGGAATTAGGTTTTGTTTCTTTGTTTAATAATGAATTCTCTGAGACCTTGGTATTTAGGTCACCCCTCGCATGGTACTATTGCAGTGTTAAGACAAACCAACCCCTCTAGAGATTATTTTTAAGTGACCTTTTCTTAGCAGCTTCACCTTTATTTATTTTTAAATAGATCTCTAACAAAAGCTGCCTGCTTATTTATTTACATATGTTTTTTCCATTTCTGTTTCATTCTAAAGAAGCTATTCGTTTGTTTATATACGTATTTAGTATACCCCTTTATGTTCATTTTTTAAATTCCACGCCCATAGTACTGTGGTTCACTCTTGTTTTCTTTATATTCTTTTATAGCTAATTGCTATTATACGAGAGTTAGCACTTTATATTTGTAGGACTCTATTTAATGATGACAAGGTTTCCACGTGCTGATAGTTTGTGAAAGCATTTTCATTCATGAAAGAACTATTTCAGAAAAATCTACATTTTCATTATTAGGCACCTTTCACTTATAAATAACTTCTAAAGTAGTTAAGGTTTTTATGTTATTTTATGCAAATTGTAGCTACTATATGATATCACAATTTATATAATTTTAATACTATTCATAATTAAAATTTATTACTTTACTTTGCCCTGTTATCTTCCCTAATACACCTTTTCTTGCTACATCTCAACTTCAAGAATATTTTCTTGAGTGTATTGTAAGAGTATATATGTACTGACCATTTTGAAAATTGTAGAGTAGTAAGTAATTTTTTGGGGGGGGGTGTTGTGAATTTCATTCACGGTTCTGTTCCCAAATTCTGCCAGTGATTAAATAAGACAGAAATTAATCAAATTTTGTTCCCTACCTTGTATTAGTATTTTAAAAAAGATTTTGATTAAAATATAGCTAACATACAATATTATATTAGTTTCAGGTGTACACAGTAGTTATTCTGTATTAGTATCTTTAATGAATAATAAAATCATTAAATGTGTTGTAGCAAGGAAGAAAAGTCTAATTTTACACAGAGTATGAATTACCAAGAGTAGATTGTATTTTGTACATTTCTTACTTAGAAGCATAGGACTTCAATTTCCTTCTTGGAGATTCATTCCACTTCAACCATTGAGCTTGACAGTTGGTGTTATGTAGCTAAATAGATGCTTAAATAGATTTTGGTAGTGATTGTTTTCAAAATATTTTTGATCATTTTTCTTTTAGAGTAACAGTGTTCTTATAAGTATTTACTGTTTTCCTGTATAAGGACACATAAAGATATCTTATATCTTCCCATGTAATATCAGTTTTCCAGCCAATATCAGCCTCTGCAAAACTCTACATGAATCCTTATGCAGAAACAGAGCTGAAAACACCCAAACTTGATGGGAACATAGAAGTACAAAATATTGCCATTGAACTGACCAAGCCTCAGGTAAGATTCAGTTTGATATTTCTGACTTTGCTTGGCCTTGAATCTTGACTGCTTTTGTCCTTTTTGATTGTTCCTTCTTCAATGTTCTGGTGGTTCTTTTTGTTTGTTATGTTGAGATTTGACGTCTAAAAATATACTTTCTATATTTTTTAAAAAGGAAATAAATATCAAATTTAAGAAACCTTTTTATTTTATCTGGTCTTTTCCTTATTGGTAGAGAATCTTATCAAATTATATTGAATGACATTAGTTCCATTTAATTCCCAATTGTTGATGGAGATTTTAATGTGTTTTTTCTTTCTCAGATTTTAATAGCACACACTTAAAAAAAAAAAAAAGCAGACACCTTATTTTTTACAATAGCTATGTTGGCAATTTTTTTTTTTTTCTAATTTGTTTTTCAAGTTTGGTTATATGCCCAGGGAGTTTGGATAATAGGTCTGGAGAACTGGAAGTGAAAGGAGGACAGGGGATTTAATTAATTGAGTTTTTAGTCTAGTGCAGTCTAATAAAATTATAATGCAAGTTATATAACTTAAAATATTCTAGTTGCTACATTAGCAAAGTAAAAAGAAAAGATGAAATTAATTAATAAAATTATTAGCATTTTATTTAACCTAACATATCCAAAATATTATCCTTTGAACATGTAATCAATAAAAAATTAAGATATTTTGCACCCTTTTCTTTTTTCCTTAAGTTTTCGAAATCTGAGGTATACTTTACACTTACAATACATTTAAGTTCAGACTACCCACATTTTAAGTGCTGAATAGGCAGCCATGTGGTAACCCTTAGGTAGAAATGCATTAAACAAAATAGAGAGGAAGAAGCTAGACTTGTCCCTTTCTTTATCTTACCTACAGTCATGTTACATGTGTGTGTGTTTCTTCCATTTGCGCTACTTACCAGATACAGATTTGTTGTATTGGTGGTAAGATGGACAATTAAGTAGCTTTATCTTGTTTTAGTTATGCAATAATTTTCTGGAGCAGTTTGAAATTTAGCTCTTAAATAGCTATTGCTAAAATGATGGTCTATAGGAAAATATGTAGTTTTAGGAACAAGCATGTTCCATGTTAATAGTTACTGATACTATGTTTCATTGTTTCTAAGATGTATATTTGTTTCACACGTCAATGTATTTGAAAATGGGATGTATAGCATTGTTGGTGGTAGTATAATTGGAAGCACTGTTTTCTTTTGTGAAACTTAAAAAATTGTGTTACAACTCATAATTGATGGTATCTTGAATTTGGTGAAATATATTATTGTGTTACTAGGCAATTGTGATATTCATTGGTCAGGGAATTTGAAGTCTCATTAGACTGAAAATATAATAACATATAGTGTTTATTCATGTGTGCAATGTAATCAATGTAACTTTTTTGTTTTAATAGTATTTAAGTATGATTGACCTTTTGGAGTCAGTGGATTATATGGTTAGAAATGCCCCTTACAGGAAATACAAACCTTATTTACCACTTCATACCAATGGTCGACAATGGTAAGTTAGAATTTTTTTTTTTAATAAGAAACACATAATCATATAATTAGGAGCTCTCAGAGTTAACACACCTTTAAACCCATGTAATGAAGCCACTTTTTTCTTTTACGTAGACATGAGAGGGGTACCTTTAATAGTACATTCTTGTTACTTTTTTCCATAAATATATTCTTTTATACTTCTCCTAAATTATTCCCAAATTCTTAACATTCAAGACTTGCTACATTTTTTGGTTTTATTATTACCTTTAGTCATCCATATGGACTCAATGCTATGCCATATTGGATACTATTAATTTTGCATAATATGTCATTTTATGTCTTTATGATTTTCCTTTGATAAATCCTTTCTGGAGTGGTTTGCTCATTTCGTAGTCTATTTAAGTCAGAGAATTATACTGGGTAATTGAAATGTTAGTGCTGAGGTCTTACAAGAAAACAGTTAACAAAAATGTAACAGTGTAGATCTGAAAAGTCAAAGCAGTTTTCTTGCTGTTTCTTAAACCTTTAAATTCAAATGTGCATTAAAAATTTGATTTGCAGGTGGAAATATGCAATTGATTCTGTTCTTGAAGTTCATATAAGAAAGTATACACAGATGTGGTCATGGAGTAACATAAAAAAGCACAGACAATTGCTCAAGAGTTATAAAAATGCCTACAAAAACAAGCTAACCCAGACTAAAGTCCCAGAAGAAATACAGAAACAAATTCAGGTATATCTTGCATTTATTGGTGAAAAGTATTATTTGTTAAATCATCTTTTAATGTTAATTCTTCTAAGTGTAAATTGAATTAAAGTATAATTTCAGAAAGAACAAAACTGATTTCTTTTTGAGAGAATTTTATGGGAAAATGCACAGTGTTTTTTCTCCGTGTTTTTCTTCTTTATAAAAAACTTTTCCACTCATCCTAATATCAGATAAAATGAGGTTATTATAAACTATTTGGAGAAATGTTTTTGGTTTTTATAATAATGTTTAGAAGACCAATATTAGAGCTATTTATTATTAGCTAGATGTGTATTATTCGTTTTGTTAGTAGCTTTTAAAAAAAGTTCAAAGTATTATTTATTAAAAATAAAATCTCTTATTCTCAAGACAGGAGGAGTCTTATTTATCCCCTTTTGAAATATGGAAAAGTACCACACTGAATATATAATTTGCTTAATGTCATCTGATCTATCTTGATTGTATAACCTTCTACCACAAATTAATAATGTAAAGAATTAATTGAATTTCTCTTATTCTGAAATATATGGTAATCACTAGTATTATATATGAGAAAAAGCATCAAGTTTCTCCACATCTCAGATCTGGTGTTGTCATGTATAAAATGGAAACAATATCTGTCTTACAGAGTTCTGAGACATGCATGGGATAACACATAGAGCACCTGGCACACAGGTCACCCAGTACATACTGAATTCACCTCATGGACTTTTATGTAAATTCCTCAAACCAGTTTCTTTTTTACATGACTTGTGATATGCAGAATTTTACATTTAAAAATTATGTGTTTTATAATGGTGCCTTTGGCACAATGGTTGTAAAATAATCTAGAATAGAGGGAGTCAGAAGTAAGAACCACAAGGATAATACCTACAATAAGTCCCCTTCTAAATATTCTTGTTTCCATTTGTATATATGACTATCTGTGTATTATAATGGTTTCATTAAAAATTTTATTTCCATATTGTTTTCAGTGAGGATTTGCTTTATTGGAAAACTTATTTCTTATATTGCAAAAGTTAAATGTAAAAGCCAAGTGCATGTTCAAATTTATACTTCAACTTTCATTAGATCACAAATACTGTTTGTTCATGAACTAGATAAGCCTAGAAATCATAGAAAAATAAAATTTTTTTTCAATCTAATTATCATGTTCCTTGTTTACAAGTGTCTCTTTGTTTTTTTAGGATTTGGAGAAGACTCTAGATGTTTTTAACATAATTTTAGCAAGGCAACAAGCGCAAGTTGAGGTAATTATTTTTATTAGCTGATTTTGTGTTTTAAGCATGTTACTACTACTTTAAACATAGGATCAGGAAATCTAAGTTTCATGGGAAATTGTTGAGATTTACTCGGTTGAGGATAAAGGTTGAGTTTTCATGGCTTAATTAGGCTTAAGAGAAGAAATTGACATATAGGGGAAGAAACAGTGACATTAAGGGGAAAACATTTTTAACAATTTTATAACAAAAAATTGGAAGCCCCCCAAAAGAAAGTAAATAAAAGTCATCCATAATTGTAACAACACAGAATGCTAACTGTTAACATTTTGACATATAAGCTTTTAGTTTTTCTCCCATGCATGTGTACCTACTTATTTATGCTTCTTATCCCCCATTTCTTTCACTTTATCTTCGCTTTGTTCTTCTTAGCCTTCATTCCTTTCTCCTTCCCTTCACCCATCTTTTCTCTTCTGTCTCTCCCTACTTTTCTCTCTCTTCGTCTCTTTTTTTTTCCCCCAAATTGGAATCAGTCTGTTTATGATGTTTCATAATTGCTGATTTATCCTATTTGGTACCTTGTCTGCACTGATCCATGTCATTTGTATTATTCTGTAACATGACTTTTTTTGATAATTAAAAAAATAAGTTAGAAATGCAATACAACTCACTATAAAAAGTTAGGAAATATAGATCCACAAAAAAAGAAAATAAAAACACCAATTATGTCACACACCAAAGACAACTATTGTTAATACTTCTCTGTGTTTTCTTTTAGTCTTTTTTACATTCATAGATCTCCGTACATATACTCATATTTTTAAAAAGGAGTAAAACATATGCACTGTTCATTCATTTACTTAGTAAATACTCACTGAGTGCCTATTGTACTAACATTATGGTTAAGAGTGTGGACTTGGGAGTCAGATGGTTGGGATTCAAATCCCAGCTTTGCCAACTAATAGTTGTGTGACCTAGGACTGGGTATTTAACCTCTCTGTGCTTCAGTTTCATTTTAAAATAGGATTAATTCATAGTACCTACATCATAGGGTTATTGTGAGGAGTGCATGATCATTGATGTAAAGCACTTAAACTATTATGTGCCTGGCATATAGCGATTACTAAATAAATGTCCTTTTTCTTCATCATCATCATCATCATCATTATCATTTGCATTAGAATACATAAGTGAACAAAACAGACAAAAATCTCTTACATTATAATAGGAAGAATGATAATAAACGAAAACATAAATAAAAATAGAAAGTAATATAGAGAGTGTTGAGGCTAAGCAGTGATAATAATGGGCTGCAGTTTATTTTTTTATTTTTTAAAAAGATTATATTGGGGAATTGGGGGAGGGGAACAGTGTTGGGGA